TGAAGTGCCTTGTCTGTTGAACCCCCTCAACTGAGGTTATAGAAACCTCGTTCCATACCATAGGGTGGGCGTTGTCCCTGCTCTTGGCTACATCTCTTCTAGTCTACTACTCATCGAGGTGTCAGGCCATGAAAGTTCCGCCTGGGGTTTTGGACGACTTATGGTGGTTTATAAACTTCGGGATCTGAATCGGTGTCTTCCTCGACTTCTTCTTCGTCCTATTCTTCTTCTGAGATATCTTCTTGATCCTCCTCTATCCAGTCGTTGTTTCCCTGATTAGGTAAGTAAGGATCTCTAGGTAGGTGGAATCTTACCATATAGTCTATTCGAGAATAGGGGTAAGAGGTACATAAAGGATCTAAGGGTGTGGTTTTATAGTATCATAAAACACTCTTATAGTATTTAAGTTTATAGGTTCTTTGTATGGTTTATTGGTAAGTTTAAACGCAACTCAATTTTAATTCCATAGTCCATCCTGGCTCTCCCTCATGGATTTACTCCACCTTTTGAGATTAAATTTTAAACATTATATATATATATATATATATATATATATATATATATATATATATATATATATATATATATATATATATATAAATTTTGAAGCCCCCTTAGGAACAATAGTCTGTTCCTATTAGTGGGGATTTTTTTTTTCAATTTTTCTTAGGAGGGTTTGCTTGTATTTTTTGTTTATTTTACCCTTGCATTGACTCCTTGATCTGTGCCACCTCTTACCGTCATTTTTCCTAAACACGTGTACCTTCGTTCCATTTTTGCATTATGTGCTTCTGACACCCTATACACGCGTTTGATTTTTCAATTTTGTTACAGACCTTGCCACCGCCTCCATTCCTTTCATCTTCTTCCATCTCACCTTTTATTTTCTCTCACTTTTTCGATTGTTCATAATCGAACCCTACACGCACTGTCACCGCCTCCACCGCCTTGCTCTAGATATCTCTACTTCTTGCCTTCTCCATTGCTTACCTTCTTCACTAGAATGTTGAGATAGATAACATAATCACTAAATTGGAGTTATCCAGATCACTCACCTTCAATCCTTACCTGTGTTCCCTCTATCATTGTATCAATGGATGACATATCGATTGCGAGGCGAACACCAGGATACGTTATGGTGATGTTCTCTGGAAACCTAACTCCAAAAAAACCTGTTCGTTTCTCCGGTCAGTCTTTGGTTGTGGTATTCAGATATCGATCCAGAGAGAGAAAAACAATGTTGTCTCCAATTTTTGTTGACCGCCACTCATACAATCGAACGCCATTGAATGCTTCCCTTTATCATATTCTCCTTACTGTCTATCTAATATGATATCTCCATCGGTGTCGAACAAGAAGAATATAAGCATTTTTGCTTAATTTTCTACAATCTTTTTGGAATCTATTGGGATTATGATCCTTGGGATTCATTGAATCTTGACTCACGTTGGAAATTTCTTTGGTTTTGAAGCATTGAAGGATTTGAGTTCTTCCTACCTTAGTGGTTGCTGTCAATTTCTATAGGAAATTTTCAAATTTCCTACATGAATTCTTACATGATGTACGGATGTCTGTTCTGTTCGTATCATTTGAGAAATACGGTTTTTCTTAAATTTAATGTACCATTGTTTCCATCTCCTGTAAACTCTTTTCCATCGATTGCATAGTTGTTTTAAGATATGTCCTTATATGTGTATCTTCATCTAACTATCTTGTATCTTCTTATTATGAACTTTGCATCTAATATACTGTTTTTTTCCAGGTTAACTCATCATAAACCTTACGCAAGTGAGCTTACTTAGGATATTCCAAAAGGTATTAACAGAAACACACATTTTTTACTTCCTGCTCCTCCTCTTAACAACATTCCTCACAGATAGCTTATTGGAAGAAATGTTATTAAGTTTGATAATGTTAAAATACACGCACACCAGTTACTTTCATCTAAAAATTTAACTAAGAGGTGGGTTATTAATTTGTTAAATAAACGCAAAAGAGTTACTTCTTGCTCCTCCTCTTAACAACATTCCTCACAGATAGCCTATTGGTAGAAATGTTATTAAGTTTGATAATGTTAAAATAAACGCACAACAGTTACTTTCATCTGGAAATTTAACTAAGAGGTGGATTATTAATTGTTAAAATTTAGCATGTTGTTATTCTTATTTTTGTTACTATATGTTTTTGTTAATTTGTTGAGGCCAAGGGGTTGTATTAAATATTAATTATCAAGAATTTTTTTAGGGCTCAAGGTGGATGGAGAGGTGCTTATCTTAATTTTTAGAGAAACCCACAAAAAAATCATTCTTAATAGGAGATATGTGGTATATAAAGAGGTAAAACAAAAAGGTTTGTGTCATCTACATTGGTGGAACAACATAGAATTTTAGTCCTTCCCCACTACCTCTTTACTTTTGATCACCTAAGAATATCTTGCAATTATGTACTTTTCTCACTTTTAGACGTCAATTTTGTATGAAATTGGATTTTTAATTAGTTCTCAACTTTTGATTTTAAGGTTCAATTTTGTTTTTTCTTCGTTGTAAAATAGAGTAAAAAACAAATTTTATGTAGTATCAATTGGTGGAAAGTTCATTTTTTGTGTATTTCTTTTCACTTTAAGGCCTCAACTTTGTCTTTTTTTTTTTTTTTTTTTTTTTTTTTTTTTTTTAATTCACAAGAGACTGTCTACATTATTCGTGAACGCAAGGTTCATTTCTTATAAATATATATCTGGTGGAATTTTATATTTAGAAACATAATTCTTTATCGCTCCAATTGGTACCACAAATGAACTACCCTTTCTCATAACAATCACACACAAAAGGAGTAAATGGATTAATCTTACATTTTCGTACTTTTTATAATTCGGTCACTAAATGTTTCAATTATTTTTGATTTTTCCTAGCATATTGTAATAAGGTTAGTTAAACTCTCTTTTATTGGATTTATACATTTTATTCATTTACTGTCTCCATCTAACTTTCATTTGAACATTTTTATTGCATATGTTAAGCAGGGTATAATGTAAGAAACTATAGTTATACTAAAGAGGCTGGTGGTCAAAATCTTCATTTGTGTTCTTTGTTAAGTATGTTGCTATCATTTTTAGTTTCATATATTGTGTCATTGAAATTTCAAAACGACAAAAATCAATCTGAAATAAATCAAGTTTCTAAGTTTTCTCTATATTTTGTAGTCACGATAGAAATAAACTGATCTTTATATGCAAATACATTAATTTTAAGAAAATATAAAACCAAACTTTTTACTACCACATTATAGTTTTTTATTTTATTTGTTTTGCACATACTTGAAGTAGTTATATTTAAATTTTTGTTGAAGATTTTTTTTTTCTCTTTTAGATTTGTTGATAACCAATCTTTTTTCCTATATTGTTTCTTTGCGATTTAGCAGGTCGAAAACCTAGTCGGTGAATAAAAAATCTAAACTTTCTATAATTTCTGCAATCAAATTAACAATCAGTTGATTTTGTTTGGTAAACCGAAGATATGTTTGTGTGGTGATGCAAAGACCAGTTTAGAAGATGATGTGAAGACCCTCGAACCCCTTTTTTGTTTTGTGACCTACAAGAGAGAGAGAGAGAGAGAGAGAGAGAGAGAGAGAGAGAGAGAGAGGTACTTTATGACCACACTTCCAAGGATTGCCACTTATTATAAGAAAATCTATTATCATGTAGATTTCTAATTTTGTCATAATAGAATTCATAGAAAGGGAAAGTAAAGGGTTGTTTGTTTTGCCTCTTATCGGATGAGTAAAAGTAACCTCTTATTCAGTTAGACACTCAGTACGTCTGTTTTATCAAGTATTACCTCTTAATCGGTCAATAAGATCTTACCCTTTGTTTTTTTTTTTATTATTTTTGATTTTTTAAAGAATATGTTTTTGTTACAACCGAACACAACGGAATAGACAACAATAGAATCAGATTAAACCAAATGCATTGATTGATTGATGAGTGATGTATGTTCCAAAGTGTTAGCCTTTTGGACAGATTTCTTAGCAAATGATATTTCACAAACAAAAGGGACCTTCAAATTGTTGCCATAAAAGTTTTTTTTTTTTAATCCATGAATCATTACAAATGCATATGAATTTTGTAGCTCAATACGACACTGCAATAGTCAAATGTTGAAATTCAACTAAAGAATTTTTTTTCATGTGAGCATATCCAACCCCGCAACGCGGGATTCTTCCGTAGTTTGTTTTTAAACTTCACCATCCTATTCAACACTACGATTATTTGATTTCCGTGACATTAAGTATTATTATATTTTGTAACACGTGTGATTTAAAACATTTGTTTTCTCATCCAACAACTACCATTGAACGAACCATAATAATAAAGCAAAATTTTCAACCTAATGGTATTCTTGCTTACACATGCTAAAAGGGTTGAACTTGTTAAAATAAGTTAATGAATTATAAAAATGTATCAATAGAAAAAAAAATAATAATAATAACTAATCTTTTATACCCGATGTGATTTTTGTGATTCATGAAAAGCGAAAGAGGGGCTTATTAGAACAACAATGATGAGCACATTTAAGTTGTATTCATAGGAAAGAACAAGGAAGGAATAACAAAACATTGTTAATGACAAATTTAACCTCTTGATGTCAATATCAAATAGTGTCAGCCCTTGCTTTATCAAGATTTAATGATATTTTTTTAAGGTTTAGATTGAGAACTTAATCTTGATATTACGTTCACTAAAAACAGAAGGTCTTATGAAAGTAACACCTTTACCTATCAATTCCAGCTGTCAAAAGAAAATTAAAAGATTAATCAACTTGCAAGTTGAACTCTCTCTCCCTCGCTTTCATTCTTAATTAATATTTTTTTGGAGATATAATTTAATTTAGAAGTTGCGTGTGATGATACAAATGACGTTTAATGACAATGCTTTTTCATTAAAGAAAAACAAGAACTAATAAAAATAACACAAATTAATTAAAAAGTTGATAGCTAATGCTATACCCGGCTTTAAGGCTTGCACTTATCAGACCAATAACTGGTGACACTTTAATGTAAAATTAAGTGTTTGTTTACTAAGTTCATCAATCTGGAATTCATCATATACAATGCATTAAAGTTCTGTGCAAAACATAGATAGACCTTTTGTTTAATTAGTGCTTGAAAGGAGCGAATGCAACAACAGAATTGTGCCCACCGAACCCAAATGAGTTGGATATGGCTGCAGCAAGATAACAAAACGTTAAAATACGGTAAAGATATTAAAAGGGTCTTTGATATGTTTTTTACCGGGTTTACCAACAGACTGAGTATGATTCAAGTTATATTCAGACTGTTTTATATTATACTTAGATACATCTGACTCAGTGCCGTATATGTTAGTGCCGTATATATTATCAATGTAAGTCTTCCCCACGCCTTACCAATTAAGTTACACGTCAGAAGCTCTTATATGTCTCTGACTCAGTCATATTTAAGTTATGTCTGATTCAGACAACCAGACTTTAATTCAATCTATTTGATTCAATCAACAATTATCAACAGATCCTAAAAAATTATTATTATTATTATTATTATTATTATTATTATTATTATTATTATTATTATTATTTTGTATTTTTCAGATAATAACAAATTAATAAGATGACATACGTACGTACCCACGTTGACTTGATGCTGTTTCTTAACATTTGGGACAGTATCGATATCAACTTGAGGCTCCAAGTTCTACATGGATGATCGAACAAAATTGATAATGATCAAAATGAGTTAATCAAAAGACAATTAAAATACTAAAAAATAATATTATTTATTTGTAGCACGTACATCTTGATTAATCGTAGGGTGTAGCCAGCCAGTGTTGATTGCTTTTATGCATGCAATGGCTTCCAATCCACCAGCAGCTCCAAGGCCATGTCCGATCATTGACTAAGTCATTATTAATATTGAATAGTCATTTCCTTAATTAATTAATTGTGTCATTATATAATGTAGCTATATATATTAAAACAATAATGCATTTTAATTAAATGTTGTACATACCTTTGTGCCATTCATTTTCATTTCAGATGTACACTTAAAGATCTTTTTAATGGCATTAACCTCAGCCAAATCCCCAGCTAGGGTTGATGTTGCATGACAATTCACGTAATTCACCTTTAAATTCAATAGTGAAGTCAATTTAATTGGGTACTAAACTTTACTTAGTAACAAATTTTTTTGTGTAATTAATTAATTAAGTTATAGAAATGTGTGTGACCTCTTGAGGAGAAACACCAGCATCTTGTAAACATTTGGTGATGCAAGAAGAAATTCCAAGTCCATCTTTACGAGGATCTGTCATATGATGAGCATCACATGTTATGGCTCCACCCAAATATTCAGCAATAATATTGGCTCCTCTTTTACTTGCATGCTCCAAGCTTTCCATTATCTGTGAAAAAATATTCCAATTTACAATTCATATAATTAATACTGTTTCTTTTTTTGGACTAACGAATCTGAATATAAAAAAAATGGCCTTTTTATTATTCTTTTCTGTCTAAAAATGATGCTAAATAATAATTGACCGATAAACTGAAATTGCAAATGATTACGATATTCGAAAAAACATGTTTACAATATTGTTGGACTTCCACATTAGTAATTTTCAGTTTATGATAATAACCAAAAGCTTATACAACTCAAAGGATTAATATTTTTAATTACTAAATTTCAATAGCTACAACCAAACATAAATACTTTCTCAAATTTATCATTATTGTATGAATCATGAATGACATCAAATGGGTGGTTGGAATTTTTTTAACAGTTACATTATAATTTTATATTATTTGAATATATGCCAAATGTTTTTCTTTTAGATTATCATTAAATTATTTAATGAACAACTATATTTTGTTTTCAGTTCCATCTTATTTCATAATAAGTAGCCCTAGTCAATAATAGTTTTAAATCTTTATATAACTTGTTTTCATTAACTACCTTTAATAACAAGTAGCTTATATTTTTAAAAGACATAAATATACAAAAGTTTACGTTTTATGAATTTGTATAATATAATATTTGAAAACTTAAACTATTGCTTGTTATGTATGCAAAAAATACATTCATGTAGGAATCATCTCCCGGAAAGAAGTTTGATTAAAGGATAACAATATAAATATAAAAGATAAAAGATTAGGTAACAAAGACACATTCATTTCCTCTCACTCAACCGATTATACAATCTATCTAAATATATTATTTAAAAAAGAACCCAAGATTTTGGACCAGGCTTAACACATTTAGGCCTCATTATGGGTCAAACACTATTTGGGTAATTTTGGGCTGGATCAATCTTGGGCTTGGGCTCATAATATTATAGTTATGTTATGGGTCACAACAAATAAACAAGGAAGATGAAGATTGAAGGCCCATAGATAGAGATAGAGATAGAGATAGAATCATAGAGAGGTGAGATACCAGGACGCCTGCACCTTCACCGATGACAAAACCATCACGATCTTGGTCCCATGGTCGAGAAGCTTTGTGGGGTTTGTCGTTTCGTTGAGACAAAGCCCTGCAGGCTATAAAACCGCCGACACCTGTAGGGTTAACTGCAGCTTCTGTTCCACCGGCGACCATGATATCCGCTTCTCCTCTTCTGATATGGTTCGCTGCCGCATAAAAGCAATAGTTTGCAGTCGCACAAGCTGTTGAAATCGAGTAGTTTGGCCCCATTAACCCTCTATCTATCGCCAATAATGCAGATCCCATGTTCGTAATCGAGTAAGGAATGAAAAACGGAGTGATCTTCTTGAACCCTTTTTGAATCAGTGCTTCCACACCATTGCTAAATGTTGTCATACCTCCCATCCCTGATCCCACAACGACTCCTATCCTCGTTCGATCCATCTGCTTTTTAAAAAATTTGTTTGTCAATCTGTTCATATATAATTTATAATCAAATTAAGAGGACTCACAGTTTCGAGAATTTGTTGGCCGAGGTTGGCATCATCCAGAGCTTTTCTGCCAGCAACTAGACAATACCTCCAACAGTCATCAAGACGCCGGTCGTTTTTACCATCGATGTAACCTACCGATGAAAAATTGCGAATTTGACCCGCGAAACGAACAGTGAATGCTGAAGCATCGAATTTGTCTATTAGGGTTATTCCGCTTTCACCCTCGAGAAGTTTGTCGTAGAATGTGTTAACGTCGTTACCAAAAACAGAAACAACTCCCATTCCTGTAATCACAATCCTCTTCTTTGGGTCTGTTTCTCTTTTAGGAGATGAAACGGTTTGTGTCGCCATGGCCTTGAATGCTCTAGATTTTGAAGCTGGGAGAATATCAAAGATCATGACAGAAAGTTAGGGTTAAAAGCACTATATAGTAAAATAGATTAAAACGATCACTAATTAACCTCTAAAACCATTATGTTGAAGCATAGAAGCTTTATTGTTTTCTGAATCCTTGCTTCTAAAAATCAAACCAGTAGAACAAGCGGCTGCAATGCTTGCCATTTCTCCCTATTCCTCCTTCTTGATCTCTGTCTCTGTCTCTCTCCCTCTCTCAAGGTCAAAAAATCGTAGATAGGATAATGAAAGAGTAGGTTTTCAGTGATCAGATAACCATGTGAGCAACTGTTATGGAAACTCTTGCAACCGGTGTTTGATGAAAATCTCCAGTGAAAACAGAGTATGATTGTGAAATATTGATTTATGGTGGTTTCATGGAGATTGAATCTTGTCATTCACCATCAAACCAACCAGTGTATGTGTTGAAAGACTCTTGGTAACCATTCTCGCCGGGTAGTTGATAACCCATTTCTGCATGTTCATTAGTTTTGTTCCTCCCTCATCATGACTCCTAAAATTCCAAATTTGTATATTTTGATATTAGTTCATAATTTTGAACGTTTTTGCGTTTATAGTCCGATGGACCGGTGGTCGCTAGATTGAAAGAGCCCGGCCCATCCTTAACTGCATTCAGTTTTTTAGAGTGAATTACGTTTAATATTGATTGATTCGTTAGGTTTAATAAACCAAAGAGTAAATTACGGAAATGGTTCATGTGATTTTCAAAAGCTTGCTTTCTTAGTCCAAGTTTTTCTTTTGTTTCAATTCCATGCCTAAGTGGAACTAAGTTTTAATTTTGTTGCAGAAATGGCCATGTAAAGTGACTAAGTTATTATTTATTTATTGAATTGAATATGGAACCCACCACTCCCTTCCTTGGATCCAACCACGAGTTCATTTGTTTTTATGATTCCAGTCCATCAATCATAAGGTTTTCCATATTGACACTAGTTTGATCCTAATGATGAATTGTGTTTGACTAAGGCTCCGTTTGATAGTTGCTGATCGAGAAAGTGCTGACTGAGAAATGTCTGTCTCAGTAAGAAATTCTGACTGAGTAAAAAATCATATTGTTTGATTGAAAATCTGACTGAATGTGCTGACTGGTGCAAAATGACCATTTTACCCCGATGCTCTACACGTTTCTAAGCAATATGAAGATGATGATGATAATAATAATAATAATAATAATAATAATAATAATAATAATAATAATAATAACAAAAACAACAATAATAATAACAATAATAATAATAATAATAATAATAATAATAATAATAATAACAAAAACAACAATAATAATAATAATAATAATAATAATAATAATAATAATGTATAAAAAACTTCCAGCATAATAAACATTAAATATATTATTTTAGAAATAGAACACAAAAAACCATTTAGCTTGTCGGTAAACACCATCTTTTCTACAAGGGAGACCTAAGTTCTAATCTTGTAACCTTTATTAGCTTTGAATTTTTATCCAAGCCAAGGGTATTATTGGAAACCCTCACTTTCTTTCTGGGTTAGCCATCTCCCAACTTCTTTCTCGGTCAGACCTTGCTTTCCGAATCAGACGTTAAGATTTTGTCTATCAAACACCTTTTGTCTGACCGAGTCAACCAAAAATGTCTGACCTGACTCGATCAGATGCATATCAAACAGGGCCTAAGTTATTGAAATCTATAAAAGAAACAGCTCACAATCTCATGAATTAGATCAAACCTAACTTCGAAAACCTATGTTCTAGTTTCATCTCGAACCTCTTTGGATCAACTTAAAACAACTATTGTATCTACAAGTTTTTCTGCCTAACCTCACCTTTTTGTAGGATAAATATCAATGTATGTCTCTAATTACACTAATCTCCAACCTCACCTTTTTGTAGGATAAATCTCAATGTATGTCTCTAATTACACTAATCTCCATATCTTCGGTGTCTCAAATAACCCACTTACCATACCAACAGCCATTGAACTCTGATACCTTGTTAACCTGTCCTCCAATTTCTTCTATGTCACCATCCCACATTATATCGACACGTGTACCTACCTCAATCTTGTTGAACTACACGATAACACTCTCACAGTCATCCATACCTTATATTGGTTTTTTTGATTTGAAATACCTCTTGAAGAATCGGTTTTTATCAATCAAAATACAAAGAAAATAAAATTGCTAGGTTTTCATCACAACAACAACCCTTGAGAGTCATATTCATTATGCAGCCGATGCATGTAGTAGACCATTCAACTAACTACTAAGTTGTTTTTTTAATCCAAAATCAAAATTATGTAAAACTCTAATCAATTAAACAATAAAGTTCATCCTTTAATTTTTTTTCTTCTTACTTCATTTTTTTATGTATATAAGATTATTTATTTTCAAATCGAAAGATTGATTGTGAAGAGTTAGTTTGAATCGAGTTTAGAAAACAAAATCAACAACAAAAAGCATTAAGAGTACAAAATTTCTAGAGAGAGTAAGAACAATAGTGCCCCAAAAGCTTCTCTCTACTTCTATACTAACCCTATTTATAGGGTACAACAGACACTCAAAAAATATGTAAAGACTAGACATTCAACATCAACACATAAATGTCTTACAAAATACATACACTACGAAATACCATATTTCATACCTATATAGACCCAAACTACTTTCGACATCTTACTAGAATTTTCGCACCTAACAATCTCCCCCTTAGTGAGAAGTGTCGAAATCACGTCATCATCTTCATGGTCTGGAGAAGTACTCTGTGAATTTCCATATACCAAAGCACAGTGTTCCTTATTTCAGCCTTGTAATCTGCACTATTACTCTTTTAATTATTGATTTGTACAAGCAAGCTTGTATAATGGACATTCGTGTACCTCTCAACATCAGCAACTTGGAACAAAAACTTTGTTATTCTCTGGTTCTTATTCTTTCCAAGAAACACTACCCCCAGAGGGTGATGAATAATTTCTCCATCTTCATATTTGTCTATATTAATCTTCCCCTTTAACAAGGACTGAGGAACTTATGAAGTCTTGTTGATGGCCATAGTAAGCTCGATATCAGTAATTGCGAGGCAATCATAATAACTATCAATGAAGATTTGATATGAGTGAATCCAATGCAAAAAATGTCCTTATTGTTCTATGGTAGTTTCATTAGATCCATATTGCTTAGAATCAATATCACTATGACCAAATCGTTCAGGTTCATCAATGGAAAGTCGACAACTAAAAACTCACATACTACATTGTTCGCCCGTACTACAACATAGATTTTTTTTTTGAAGAATTCCTTCAAACAAGTTTTCCCGAGTGATTGACATCACTTTGATGATCTTCACAGTAGACCAAACCCCCTCTTCGCTATTGCCTAATATAGCATGAAATCTCATCTTCATGCTTTTATACTCTTCTTTGTCTTTAAAGCGACCAACCAACTTGTACTGAGAGGAAATATAGGTCATGTGATTGATAGGAAAATCGATTTGATTGAAATATGAGTTTTCAACATCATAACTTTTCTTTAGAACCTTGAGAAAAATCATCCATATTCCCTAACAAAACAACTTGCTCTATAGTTTTATAGCACTAGTGTTTGTTGGGATCACCTATGTTTAAACCCGGTGGATCATTTTGTCTTTGCCTCATAATACTATTGATTTATATTTGTCTCTCAATTTCCATCCCTAATCTCCTTTTCTTTTCTTTTTCAGACAAAGTTACTTCGATACCTTTCTCTTTATCTCCTTGGTTTTCTTTCGATGAAGGTGGTTTAGAACTCAACCCAGAGCCTCCAACACTTTCGCCAATAACGATCCTTTTTGTTAAAGGTCTTGTCGTGGTGGTTGTTGAAGTTTTTGTCAAATATGTACTTCTTCTTATTGAGAGTCTCAACAATCGAAGGTCCACATAAGTCAATGTGAATAAGTTCCAAATGTTCGATGATCTTTGAGTCGATGACAATTGGATGACCTTGACAACGTTGCTTTCCCTATTCACATGCTACACACAATGAATCATTATCAAATTTTACAAACAAGTAATCCATAAAGAAGATCATGTATAACCAGCTTGTTGAGATTCTTGAAATTCAGATGCGGGAGATGATGATGCCCCAACTAGCTAAGGTATGATGATGATTTCGATAGTAAACATACAGATGGAACTCCAACTATAGGATTCATGTCGAGTGTGAACATGTATTCTTTCCTTTTTGATTTAAGAAGAACTTATTTTGCTTCTTTGTTAGTGATGACATTGCCTTCTATACCAAACACTAGTTGATTCTCCGTGCGCACAACAAGTTGCGAAACACTTATCAAGTTATGTTGTAAGCCTTCGACATAAGCCACTCTTTTTACAGTAAATTTGTCATTCGTCACCTTGCCATATCCTTTCACTTTGCATTTCTGATTATTTCCAAACTTCACTACGCCAACATTATCTAACTTTCGATAGTCTCAAAGATTCTCCTTTCAGCCAGTTATATGACAAGAGCAACCACAATCAATATACCAATGTTCATCGTATTTCTCGTCACATAGTATCTGCGACCATTCAAAAAAATTTAGGTCCCCAAGACATTTTGGGTCCTTGGATATTAGTTTGAAAGGCATTATGAAAAGATGAACCTAGTACCTAATTGCAAACTTTTGACTTTAAACTGTCAATTATGTTGTCAAAACAAGCAACATTAGGGTCAAGATTGTATTTATGTATAAACAATTCCTCTATGTAACCTTATTGCATTAGATTATTGAATGGAAATGTTATATGAATATGTATGTGCATACACTAAGAATAAAGTTGTAATTTCCTCTTATAAGTTCAAGTTGGATCCAATAGCTAAACAAAAACAAATTTTGGGCCTTGCTTAGAGTTCTCGACCCAAGTAAACACTAGGCCGAAAACCCTTTTTCCTTTGGGCCTTATTGAAACTGAAAACCTTCTTATTAGGCCAAATTAAGCCCGAAAGCCCATACCCACTTAAAGGCCAAAAACTCTTGTATTTAGCCCAACAAAAACCGAAAACTCTTAGATTGGCCCAACCAAAGACCGAGAACCTGGAAAGTCCATGAAGGCCGAAAACCTTATGAGGTTTCGGTTAGGCATGAGATAAAAAAAAAGAGAGAAAAGAAGAAAACGAAATTACACAAATGGGGGAGACCTCATAGATTTACATTACATTTCCCATCAAACAACTAAGCATAGCACATAAATGCCCTTCAAACATACATACTATGCACTCATTTATCTTCCATGCAACCTGTGACAATCGTCAATTTCCGGTCAAGTCAAAGTCAAATAAAGTCAACCAGTAAAACCGGTCAACTCATTTAACCCTTGTATATTAGGGTTTACATTATGTTACTATTGCACAACTCGCTATTTTAATAAGGAGTTATTACTTGGAAAGTTCGTATGTTTAGAAATTCTAAACCTTAATCGGGGTAAGTGATGAAACTACTCGATAAAACATTATTCCATAACCCTCAGGGGCATATAATAATCATAACGAGGCTTAAT